TTGCAGGCAAGGTTCCAATTGTTGCTTTAATATAAAAAGCAACTTATTAAAATCAATATTTCTCACCACGATTCACTGTCTTATCCAGTGATGCAAAACAATGTACAAAATATGCAAAGTAACTGTACAACCACCACCCCTGTCCACCATTCACCTTCCCCAGCATGAACATAATCGCCTGACCAGTTCCGTATTTACATCAGTTTTGATCTTGCTGGCACCCAATGAGTTGTGATTTACCCCACTTTCCCCCAATGCCACTTCTTCTGCCTCGCTCCTGCTTGCTGACCTTTGGCACTGAGCCTGGGCTCCTCTTTTGCAGTGGGCAGGAGGTGGTGGGCTGTGTGCAAGCAAGGGGAAGAATGGCCTCCTCCAGGTTAACATCATCAGACTCAAGTATTGGACACTGGGCTCCAAACCAGAGCAGATTTCTGGTAGTGAGTCGGAGAAATCAGCTTCACAGCGAACAAGAGCCAAGTCAATTCCACACTTTCCACTGGCCTCAAGAGTCTCTGGCCACTCAGTGTCCTATGCACCCAAAATCCAAGTCCAGTTAATGTGGAAGGTCCTACACTCAAACCCTAGATATAGACTTTAAGTAGTGGGGCTCCTGATGAATCTGTCTCTGTATCCTGAAGAGAATCATCTTTATGCAAATCTGGAAAGAGAGAGAGGGGGGAAATAGTGAGTGTTGGGATCTCAATGGGATTCTGCACTATGGACTGGGGTTCGGGTCATGTTCACAGTGTTGGAACAAAAAGCACTGGGATGGGGAATGGTCACATCGAATCTGAATCGACAGCTCAGGACAGCAACAGGATAATGATCAGTACACAGACTGCAGGGAGAAGAGTGGAATGAGAGTCACATAAATTGGGCGATTGGGTGTGGGACACACAGTAAGAGGGGTATGAGGTGGTGGGCTAAGACAAATGGAAAGAAGATGGGGTGAGGTCAGAGATTGAGGGGGAGGGAAGAGAGAGAAGATGGGGTGAGGTTGGGGGGAGTGGGAGAAGACAGGGTGAGGTGAGAGAAGGAGGGAGAGAAGATGGGGCAAGGTCAGGGAGAGTTGGGAGAGAGAGGGAAAAAGTACAGGCGAGGTCACAGAGGAGAGAGTAAAATAGACAGAATGAGATGGGGCAAGGTTAGAAAGAGAGTCAGAGAGGAAGACAAGGATGTTGGTGTACAGACAGAGAGACAGGGACAGACACATAGATAGGGAGGGATGAGGTTCGGGCAGGGGATTTGGGGCAAAGAGATTGTCTGAGACACAGAGAGAAAAGGGTAAGAGGTAATTTGGAAATTACCAGGTGAACACAGCCGCTGAATTTGTCTTGCTCTCTCATCAAGCGAGTCCACCACTGAAATCTCCAGGTTAAGCTCTTAACAAAAGAGGAAAATCAGAAATCACAGCACTGCAATCACAACATCTTCCAGCCAAATCTCAAACAAAAACACATCTCTGCCCACAGGCAGATAAATAGAGCCCTCCACAAGCGTCCCAGGCACAAAGATAACCAGCACAGCCCCAGCCCAGTACAACCCCACACAAGCACCCTCGCATCCTATCCCACCCAAGTGGAGCTCCAATGCATTTCTGGCCCCTCCCCAAATGCAGTTTCACTGCATCCATGCCTCCCCCCAATCTGGGTGCATTTTCTGTGCAGTACCCTCCCCCTCAAGGCAGCTCCAGTGCATTCCCCTCCCTCTGCACAGTGCAACTCCAATGCAGCTGCTGCCTCACCTTCACTGGGCAAAATAGTCTCAGTTTGAGGTCTGGGGTCAGCAGGAGTCGGAGAGATCAATCTTTCCTCACTTGGCTCTTCTGGTCCCCTTTTCTTACTTTTCTTGGGTTTCCGGGTGCTGATCCGAACGATCCCGGTCACTATCCGGCATTCCGCATCCTTCTCATTGATCTTGTAGCCTTTGGTGATGCTATCAATGAGCTCAGTGATTTCACTGCTTTTGCTGATGAATGTGGTATCAGAGGTACACTGGGCCAACATATCGATCTGGTGAATGCTGAACAGCTCCAATAGCTTCTTGTTGATGTACTCGTCCAGCTCTGCACTCGACATTGACACGTTTAGCTCGTTGTTCTCCAGATCTTCCTCCAGGAAGGAGGGGAACTCATCGGAAATTCGTTTGTGAGAGATTGGTGAGATGCTGCTGGGGCTCTCTGATTGCTGAGAATTGTGGTGGGTGTCCTTGTGGCATGAGTCTGTGGACAGAGTATGACTGTTATTTTTCCAGATTACCTGCTGTCCTCCCAACTTGACATCATAATAATTAAAACTGTTGCCCGCAAGATTAGCCTTCTTCTTGGAACTGGGTTCAGAGTTCAGGGGAATCCCATGCGTTGGGTTTTCAATATACCGCAAAGTGTTACTGTCAATGTCTTTAGCACGTGTCGGTGGCTCTGTGGTCCTGGTACATGGATTATAAACCCCAGTGTCAGCCTTGTAAATTCCACAGGTCACCACACAGCAGAAAACTGCTTTAACCATCTGCCAGGTAACACAGTTTCCCAGCCCACATGACTCGCACACACTTGCCTCCTCTGTGATTTCAACTGACCCCGGGATGAACCCAATGTTTTCCGAGTTGTTCCCATTTGAATCGCTTGGATCTGCTTTACAGCTGTGACGTTTCGCCAGTGATTTACTTTTCTTCCTTTCAGCTCGTCTGCTTTCTGGCGTTGAGCCTTCATAAACCTCCAGGTTCAGCGAGTCCACAGAGGCTGGTAGCAGAACTGGAGAGGCCAGAAGCCTAGGTTTGGCCACAGGCTTGTCAGCCTGCTGTGGAACAGCTCTCCGTCCAGTTCCTTGCATGACTTAGATTGAAGGACCTGTGGAATAGAGAGGACAAACATCACACAACACACATGGCTACTGGACCAACACATTACCACCAAAAGAAGACAACAATATGTGTAGGGTGAACCCAAGGATATCTATAAGAGCCCCAGGAATGTTGAGAGGGCACCATAATAACCTGCAAGCACAGTGAGCCGCAGCATACAATCTGAGGGTGTTTTATCCCCTTCTCTGAATGTGACATGCAGAACCCAGGCAGGAACTGTATGGTGACAGCCATTCAAACCACTTACACCTTTAGAAAGCAGTTTGAACTGACTGACCAGCTACAAAAATAGTGAAAAAGAAATTCAAGAGTAGTCACCACACATTTCAGAAGTGAAGGAATGCAAGACAAAAGGGCATCATGGTGGCTCGGCGGTTATCACTGCTGCCTCAAAATGCTAGGGTCCCAGGTTCGATTCCACCCTTGGATGACTGTCTGTGTGGAGTGTGCATGTTCTCCCCATGTCTGTGTGTGTTTCCTCCCACAGTGCAAAGATGTGTAGGTTAGGTGGATTGGCCATGCCAAATTGCCCATACTGTCCAGGGATGTGCAGGCTAAATGGATTAGATATGGGAATTGCAGGGTGATAGGTGGGGGTGGGATGCTCTTCAGAGGTTCAGTGTGGACTTGATGAGCTAAATGGCCTGTTTGCACATTGTAGGGGATTCCATGATTCTATGAAGACCAGTCTTACTGATTTCTTTGAAATAACAAAGTAGACATGGGTAATGTGATGACAACCTACAGCACAGGAAACTCATGACTAAGGTCAAAATATGTGGAGTAAGGGTTCAGTAACAGAATGTAAGGGAGGCTGGGTACAAAACAGAAATCAGAGATATGGGTTAAAAGTAGTTAATCACACTGACAAAACATAGGAAGTGATATTTCACAGGGATTGATAGTGAGGTCACTCTTATTCACTACTCACATAAATGATTTCAGAATCGAAATACAATTTGAAATTTCACAAATGACAGCACGTTGGGGTGTTATTAATATAGAGGACTGTGACAAAATAAGTGAAGACATTAATAAACTAGCAATATGGTATTATTAGCAAATAAGCTTCAGTATTTTTAATCCTGAGGATGTCACATTTCACCAGGAATAAGGAAACCACATGCTCCTTGCTAAACAATTATCTAAATTGGGGAGAGAAACAACAGAATCTGGGATTCAGATGCACAAATCATTAAAAGTAGTGGCACATTATAACAAAGCCATAAAATGGGATGCAATACACTGGTTCATTTCCACTGGGACATATACAGATCCTTAGGTCACACACATGGCACACTATGCATAATTCTGGCCCCCATAGGGGCTCTTTTCTCTGGAAATGAGAAGACTAAAGGGCCATGTGATACAGGTCTTTAAGATAACATAAGGGTTTTATAGAATAAATGTTAAGAAAATGTTTCCACATGTGGACAAAACCAGGATTATACGTTTTAAATATGATAAATTTCTGACAATTTATTAGTGATGATAAGAAACCTCTTTACTCAGAGTGCAGTTAGAATGCAGAACTGACTACCAGGAAAAGAAGTCAAAGGAGAACAAAATAGATACACTGACTAAACTTGATGGAGAAAGGAATAAAGAGATATGGTGACAATTAGAGGTGAAGTAGACTGGAAAGCTCTTGTGGAAAATAAACACTGGCTTGGGCCAGTTATTGAATGGTTTGACAGGCTAGAGATGATGTTGGACTGACATACCTATTTTTAGTGCCATACAGGGATTGACATTGATAAGAGGCAGAGGAAGAGGTTAAGTGTTGCTCGGAGGAGTTGTAAGGACAGAGCAAAGGGGAAGGTCTATGATAGAATGGGGAACACAGCAGTGATTAAATGGCAAAGGTATTATGCTGCAATAAAGCAAAATGGGATGATCATGGAACAAGTGTAAAGAAAAACAGAGTTGGATCCTGGTGAGCTGTAAATGCCAAAGTAAAAACATTAACAACGACAGTTGCAATGAAAATGGAAGCAAGGCTATTCTCTGAAGTTGTGAAACTCAAGCTGGAGACTGTAAGGTTGTAAACTGCCTAATCAAAAGATCATGAGCTTGTACTGAATTCTATTAAATCAGTACTGAAGAGTGAAGTCGAGTTGGTCATGATGGGATTGCAATGGAGAAATGACTGGAATTGGTATTATGATTGTGGAACGAAGCGGAGTGTATAATAAAGCATTATTCCAATTTGCAGTTGTCTTCCCAAGTCCAGCAGGCTGTGCCATGAAGGCCACCCCAGTGTGGAGGACACTACAGTATGAATGCACCTCCCCTGAAAACCATGGATGAACAGAGAGATTCACTCCCAACTGAAGTCCAGGTTGGAGGCATACAAGTTGGGCAATGCTGAACTGTACAGAAAATCCAGGACGACCTTCATAACATCGTCAGAGATGCCAAGAGGCGATACCAAACTAAACTTGAGACCCAAACCAACCGCTCGGACACCCGTTGTTTGTGGCAAGGTTTACATGATACAACAGGCTACAAAGCGAAGTCAAAGAGAATCACGGGCAACAGTACAACCCTACCTGGTGAATGGAATGCATTCCGCGCTCGCTTTGAACAGAAGATCAGTGAAACAATATCATCTATCCCAAAGCCTCGGATACACCTGTGCCCACAGTCACCATTGCATACATTAGATCAGCCTTCTTGAGAGTGAAGCTGCGGAAAGTGACTGGCCCAGATAGAGTCCCCAGCCATACACTCAGATCCTGTGCGGACCAGCTGGCAGGAGTAAGAATTTCACAGATCATCGACCTGGCATCCCAATCTGACCTAGTCAGCATTTGGCCAATATCCCTCTAAACCCTTCCTAATCATATACCCATCTAGATGCCTTTTGAATGTTATTATTGTTTAACCTCTCCTTACTATGATCTGAAGTCCCACCTGCTTTGAGAAGACAACCATCATCCTGGTGCCAAAGAAAAATCATGCAGCGTGTCTCAAAGACTAATGCCCAGTGGCGCTGACCTCCATCATTATGTGGTGCTTTTAGAGGTTAGTCACAGCTCACATCAACTTCAACCTACCAAACTGCCTTGATCCTTTGCAATCCACCTACTAGAGCAACAGGCTCCTTCTTATTAACAATAGTTTCACCTTCAACACCATAATACCAAATAAACTCATCTCTAAACTCCAAGACATAGCTCCCTCCCTAACTGGATCCTCAACCTCCTGTCCCGTAGACCACAATCAGCAAGAACAGGCGACAACACCTCCTCCACCATAATCCTCAACACGCCGCATCAAAAGGCTGTATCCTCAGCCCCCATATTCCTTTTACAAAAGTGTGTGGCAAAATTCTGCCCCAACTCCATTTACAAGTTTGCTGACGAAACCACCATTGAAGTTGAATCTCAAACAACAACGAGACAGAATTACAGGAAAGAGATTGAGTGCTTAGCGGCAAGGTGTAAAGACAACAATCTCTCCATCAACGGCAACATAACAAAGGAGCTGGTCATTGACTTATAGGAAGCAGAGTGGAAGGTATGCCTCTGTCTGCCTCAGTCGTGCTGAGGTGGAAATGGTTGAGAGCATCATGGTCCGGGGAGTGATGATCACTAACAATCTGTCCTGGTCCATCTACATTGACGCAACGGTGCAGAAAGCACAAAGTCTCTACTTCTCAGGGGGCTAAGGAAATTTGACATGTCCATAAAAAAACTTACAAATCTGGATGCATCATAGTGTGGTATGGCAACTGCCCTTCCCAAACCCTTAACAAACTACAGAGAGTCGTGAACACAGCCAAATCCATCATGAAAAACAGCCTTCCATCTATCTATACTTCCCGCTGCCTCGGGAAAGCAACCAACGTAATCAAAGACCCCTCCCAACCCAGTAATACTCTCTTCCACCCTCTTCCATTAGCTATAGAAGTTTGAATATATGTATGAGTTGATTCAAGAACAGCTTCTTCCCCGCTGTTTTCAGGCTTTTGAACAGACCTCTCAAATATTAATGTTGATCTCTCTCTGCACCTTCTCTCCAGCTGTAACACTGTATTCTGCACTCTGTTCTGCTATCCTGATGCACTTTGTATGGTATGATCTGCCTATATAGCATGCCAAACAACACTTTTCACTGTATCTCAGTACATGTGACAAGTCAGATAGGGATGTCTGGTTAGCATGGACGATTTGGACCAAAGTGTCTGTTTCCTTGCTGTGTGACTCGATGAGTCGATAATAAGGCCATGGAAGAATTTGTTAACATGGATGGTCATTTTAAAATCAGGGATTGCTGATCCAAGATCCAAAATACATCAGTGAGCACAGGGGTCATGGGTGAATGGGACTTGTGCAAGTTAAGACACAACAGTATTTCTACATTCACACTCCATAAACTGTGACAAAACTTCTAGCGCAGACATTAATGATGTTGCAAACTGATACCAACTAACTGCATCCACATTAAAAATCAATCATAAGATCACAAGACCTAAGACATACGAGCAGAAAAGGCCAATCAGCCCAGTAAGTCTGCTCTGCCATTCAAAGAGATCATAGCCGATCTGATAAACTCTATTTTCCTGCCTTTTCCCCATAACCCTGAAACCCTTACTGATTGAAAATCTCTCTCTTTCAGTCTTAGATATATTTAATGACCCAATCTCGACTGCTCTTGGCAGTAAAGCATTCCACAGATTCACAACCCTCTGAGAGAAGAAATTCTGCCTCATCTCTTTCTTAAATGGGTAATGCCTTATTCTGAGGTTATGCCCTCTCATCCTAGACTCTCCATCAAAGCGGGAACAACCCTTCCTTTCCACATCTGGGTAGGGTGGATAGTCAAGGTCTTTTCTCTAGGGTAGGGGAGTCCAAAACTAGAGGGTATGTGTTTAAGGTGAGAGGGGAAAGATTTCTAAGGGGCAACGTTTTCATGCAGAGAATGGTGCGTGCATGGAATGAGCTGCCACAGGAGGTGGTGGAGACTGGTACAATTACAACATTTAAAACGGATCTGAACCAAAATTGGAGGTGTAGTGGACAATGAAGAAGTACAATGGGATCTTGATCCAATGGGCCAATGGGCCGAGGAGTGGCAGATGGAGTTTAATTTAAACAAATGTGAGATGTTGCATTTTGGAAAGGCAAGTTAGGGCAGACCTATACATTTAATGGTAAGGTCCTGGAGAGTGCTGCTGAACAAAGAGACATTGGAGTGCAAGTTCATTGTTCCTTGAAAGTGGAGTCGTATCTAGATAGGATAGTGAAGAAGGCTTTTGGTATGTTTGCCTTTATTGGTTTCGGCATAGAGTATAGGAGTTGGGAGGTCATGTTGCGACTGTACAGAACATTGATAGGCCACTTCTGGAATACTTTTTGCAATTCTGGTTTCCCTGGTATAGGAAGGATGTTGTGAAACTTGAAAGGATTCAGAAAACTTTTACAACGATGTTGCCAGAGTTTGAGGGTTTGTGTTTGAAGGAGAGGCTGAATAGGCTGGGGCTATTTTCCCTGGACCGTCGGAGGCTGAGGGGTGATCTTATAGAGGTTTATAAAATCATGAGGGGATATGGAAAGGGTAAATAGACAAGGTCATTTCCCTGGGGTGAGTGAGTCCAAAACTAGAGGGCATAGGTTTAAGGTGAGAGGAGAAAGATTTAAAAGAGACCTAAAAGGGGCAACTTTTTCATGTAGAGGGTGGTGCATGTATGGAATGAGTTGCCACAGGAAGTGGTGGAGGCTGGTACAATTACAACATTTAAAAGGCATCGAGATGGGTATATGAATACGAAAGGTTTAGAGGGATATGGACCAAATGCTGGCAAATGGGACTAGATTAATTTAGGATATCTGATCGGCATGGACTAGTTGGACCGAAGGGTCTGTTTCCATGCTGTATATTGCAATGACTCCCCCCTGTTTCAGTGCTGTACAACTCCATGATTTTCTGACTCTAGGATGGGTATATGAATAGGAAGGTTCACATGGATATGATCCAAATGCTGCAAATGGGACTAGATTAGTTTAGGGTATCTGGTCAAGTTGGACCGAAGGGTCTGTTTCCATGCTGTATATTGCTATGACTCCCCCCTGTCAAACACCTACGAATCTTGTATGTTTCAATAAGATTACCTCTCATTGTTCTATATTCCAATGAGTACAGGCCCAATCAACTCAATCTCTCATGAAACAGTCCCCCTATACCTGGTATCGGCATAGTGAACCTTCTTTGGATTGCCTCCAATGCCACTATATTTTTCCTTAGATAAGGGGCACAAAACTGTTCACTATTCTAGCTGTAGTCTGACTAGTATTTTGTATTGTTTTAGTAAAGCCTCCCTATGTTTATACTGCAATCCTTTCAAAATAAAGGCCAACATTCCATTTACCTCCCCTATTACCCACTAACCTAGTATGCTAGCTTTTTGTGATTCACACACTGCCAAATGACTCCGAAATCCCTCTGTTTTGTAGCTTTCTGCAGTTTCTCTATTTAAATAATAGCCAGGACTTCTATTCTTCCTGCATAACCTCACATTTCCCCACATTATTTTCCATCTGCCAAGTGTTTGCCCATTTGTTTAACCTATCTATATCCCTTTGCAGACTCTTGTGTCATCCTTACCATTTGTCTTCCCATCTGCTTTTGTGTCCTCTGGAAACTCGGCTAGAGTGCATTCCCTTTCTTTTTCCAAGTCAATAACATACATTGTAAATAATTGTGGCCCCAGCTCTGATCCCTGTGGCACAACACTAAATACAGGTTACCATCCTGAAAATGACCCTTCCAATCCCAACTCCGTCTTCTATTGGTTGGCCAATCCTCTATCCATACTAATACACTCCTTCCAATACCACGGGCTCTTTTCTTAATAAGTAGCCTAATGTACGGTACCTTATCAAGTGCCTTCTGAAAATCCAAATACATTATACCCACTGATTCTCCTTTATCTATCCTGCTTGTTACCTCCTCAAAGAATTCTAATAATTTTGTCAGGCATGATTTCCCCTTTAGAAAGCTATGTTGACTTTGCTTGATCATATTTTGCATTTCTAAATGTTTTGGTATTACATCCTTTATAATTGGGAAGATGGTAGAGTCTATTTTCCCAATAGCAGACGTTAAGCTGCCGGCCTGTATTACATTTTGTCTCCTTATCTTTCCAAATAAAAGGTGTTACATCGACAGTTTTCCAATCCTCTGGGACTTTTCCAGAATCTAATGATTGGTTCACCCCTTTCCTAGAATTCTTCTTCCTCACTGGATTATATCTTTGCTGTGGGGCATAAACTGTTTTTTAAACAGCTGCCATCAACCATTTTTCTGTTAAACACTTATTCCAAGTCACTGCAGCCAGCTCTATCTTCATTCCTTTATAATTTCAAGTCAAGTGTGTGATGGAATGTTATTCTCTTTCCTGGATGAGTGCAGAACCAACAACACTCAAGAAGCTTGACATCATCCAGGACAAATCAGCCCTGCTTGACTGGAACCTCATTTGCCTCCTTCAACGTTTATTCCTTTCATCATAGTACACACAACGTGTCAATCTCCAGATGCACCTAACAAACCTACGACCTCTACCAGATAGAAGAACAAGGGCAGCAGATGCATGGGAGCACCACAACCTGCAAGTTCCTCTCCAAATCACACACCATCCTGAACTGGAAACACATTGCTGTCCCTTCACTGAGGCCGAGTCAAATTCCTGGAACTCTCTCTCTAACAGCACTGTGGGTGTAACTAAACTACATGGACTGCAGTGGTTTAAGAAGGCACCAACTTACCACCATCTTCCCAATGGCACTTAAGAATTAGCAGTTAATGCTGCCTGATCTAGCTACGTCCACATTTATGAACAAATAAAAAAGTATCCAGAATGTTGGCAGAAGCCCCAAACTAATGGAGATCACCCCCAACATGAGGCAAAGTGCTCAGGTGGACAACACATCAACCACACCCTGCTTACTGCCAATTCAAGTGAATCTAAGCAAACCAGTTATGCAGGGAAGGGAAAAATCAGTGCAAACTGATTTTATTGCTGTACTGACTGCAAATGAATGAACAGATTTCTTTGAGACACAGGTTCGGGAAAAGATTGAGGAACAGTGATAGGGCAGAATAGAGGGCTTGTTTGATGCACAGCAAAGTCCCTGACAGGGGTCTGAAGGGACAGAGGGAAATCCCCAACAGGGAGTAGGTGATGAGGGATCGGGTGGATGGAGGTGGCAGATGGTGACCAGCAGAGATTCCAGCGGCAGGATTGCTCATTGCTTAAAATAAAACAAGGAACTGAAGAAGATGCTGGAAATCTAAAACAAAAACAGAAATTGCTGGGGAAATTCAGCAGGTCTGGCAGCATCTGCAGATAGAAAGCAGAATTAACTTTTTGAGTCCAGTGACCTTTCTTCAGAACTGTGTCTGGAGAAGTGTCACTGGATTTGAAACATTACTCTGTTTTCTCTCCACAGATGTTGCCAGACCTGTTGAGTTTCTCCAGCAATTTCTGTTTTTGCTCATTGCTTACCCTGTGTTATGCTGCCTTCCTACAGCCATACTAATTTGTGGAGTAGTCTAACAGCTTCCAATCCCCAGCATCCCAGGTACACGTTCACTGAACAGTAAAATACTCAGACTGCCCATTTTGCATTTGTCCTTTCACTCATGTTTGAAGATGGCAGCAAAATTATAAAGGCAGTTGAGAAATCATACAAGATTTGTAAACTGAAGTTGAAAATGCACTAATCATGCTAAAATTACTGGCCAGGGCTTTAGCTGGAGTATTTCACAATTCTGGACACCCATACTTCAGCAAAATGGAAATTAGGTGCAGGAGTTGGCCATTCATCTGGCCGATAGTCTATTTAAAATGCCATATTTCACGTCTCTCTCTCTCCCTCTCCATACTCCCGAACATCTTTACTCTCTAGGAATCTATTTCTTCCTTAAATATATTCACTAGCCATATAAATATATTGGTTACAAGAGTAGGTCAGAGGCTAGGAATACAGTAATAAGTAACTCACCTTCTGACTCCCCAAAGCTTGTCTGCCAACTACAAGGCATAAGGCAAGAGCATGATGGAATACTCCCCACTTGCCTGGATGGGTGCAACTTCAACGTCATTCAAGAGGCTTGACACCATCTAGGACAAAACAGTCCATTTGAATGGCATCATATCCACAAATATCACTTCCAACCACCACTCAGTAACAGCAGTGAGTACCATTTACAAGACACTCTGCAGAAATTCTGCAGAGGTTGTTTTGACAGCACCTTTCAAGCCCACAATCACTTCCATCTAGAAGGACAAGGGCAGCAGATACATAGGAACACCTCCACCTGCATGTTCCCCTCCAAGACACTCACCATCCTGACTTAGAAATATATCGCTGTTCCCTCAGTATGACTGGGTCAAAATCCTGGAACTTCCTCCCTAACAGCATTGTGGATCTACTGACAGCATGTTCAAGAAGGCAGTTTACAACCACCTTCTCAAGGGCAACTGGGGATGGGTAATAAATGATGTCAGCGATGCTCACATCCCATGAAATTATTTTTTTTAAATCAGTGACTTTGCCTCCATAGCCTTTGACAGCAAAGATTTCCATAGGCTGACCACTCTCTGAGCAAAGGGATGTCTCCTCATCTCGATTTGAAATGGCCTATGTGCATCCCAAGACTATGACACCTCATTCTGGAAGCCCCCATCCAAGTACAAAGGAGATTCAACAGGATTATACCAATGTTGAGGGACTTTATGTGAAGTGATTGGACAAAATGGTATTCTTCCCTTTAAAGCAGAGAAGGACAAGGGGAGATCATCATCATCGAATCCCTACAGTGTGGAAACAGGCCCTTCGGCCCAAGAAGTCTCCACTGACCCTTGGAGCATCCCACCCAGACCCATCCTCCTATAACCCACCTAATCTACATATCCCTGAACACTACAGGCAATTTAGCATGGCCAATCCACTTAGCCTGCACATCTTTGGCCTGTGGGAGGAAACCGGAGCACCTGGAGGAAACCCACGCAGACATGGGGTAAATGTGCAAACTCCACACAGACAGTCGCCCGAGGGTGGAATCAAACCTGGGTCCCTGGTGCTGTAAGGCAGCAGTGCTAACCACTGAGCCACCGTGCTGCCTACAGATCTATAGAGGAATTCAAAATGTGGAGTGGTTTTGGTAGAGAAAGAGGGGTGAACAATTTCCTTTGGTAAGTCAGTGACCAAAATTATCAGATTTAGAATAATTGGCATACGACTAGACAGGAAACATGAAACTGAGAAAATAGAAGCGACAATAGGCCATTCAGCCCTTCAAGCCTGCTCCGCCATTCAAGATTATCATGGCTAATCATTCAATTCATTGCCCTCTTCCCACTTGCCCCCGATACCCTTTGATCCCTTTAGCCCCAAGAACTATATATAACTATGAGGAAAGGAAATTAGGAAAAATGTTTTCACACAGAGGTTGGATGTTATCTGGACTTAAGGGTAGTGGAAGCAACTTCCACAGGAGATTGCAATAGGCAATTGTATGTAAAGTTAAAGATGACTAAGCTGTAGGGTAATGGGGTAAACAAAAGAGAGGCGTGGATCTAAAATGGGCAGATCTTTCAAAGAGCTGGCACAGACATTACTGTGGACTGAATGATTTCCTCCTGTACTGTATAATTGTATGATTCTAATCTGTGGGCATTTGTTACTAAACCGGTTTCTGATGACTAATATACATACGGACTGTTCAAAATTCTAATCCGTGCCCCGGGCAATCAAGGCTGTTACTCACTGTTGTTTTAATAACACAAAGATTCGAAAACACAAAGGAAAATTGCAGCAAATCAACTTCCCACTCAACAGCTATTTCCATTTCAATAGCACTGTTGATGTGTAAAAAAAAAATTGCATGAACCCTACAGACAAAATGTGGACACCAAATCAAAGAAAAATTTTGGGAATGGCAAGGGTATAGGTTTTAAGGAGGGGAAAAGTAGTTAAAAGGCACAGGCAGCAATACTAGAGCATGGAGGAATGGGAGATGTGCAACAGACAAAACTAGAGGTTTGCAGAGATCTGAGGGGTTGGAGGAAGTTATAGAGACAGGGACCAATGAGGCCAGGGAGGGATTTGAAGGCAATGATGAGAATTTTAATCAAGACATTGCTCAAATGATAGGCACTGTAGGTCAGTAAGCACAGGAATACTGAGAGAATAAGACTTTTGTGAGTTAGGATATGAAAGTTGACAGATGGCGAAAGAAGATTTTGCTGAGGGGTAACATGCAGATGAGCGGCCAACTTTAGATTCTTGAGGTCCGTTCAGTCATAATTGACAGTTTAACCAGACTTGTAAAAGTGAATCCGTTGAACTGGACAATGGAAAGGGAAATAAGGAGGGACACAATCACATAGGATATCATCTGTGACTTTGTTTGAGACCAGGAGCTCGTTGACAGGGGAAAAGGCTTGAATATTCCAAGACATTTAGATCCACAGCCAGGGGGAAAAAAAATTGAACTTAAGGAAAAGTTACTTGGATTGGAAGCAGTTTAGATCAGAGAAGATTCACTAAGTTGCTTCCTGGAACGAAGGGGTTTCTTATGATGAAAGATTGTGCAAGTTAAGCCTGCAGTTATCGGAATTTAGAAGACTGAGAGATGATCCTGTTGAAACACGAAAGAATCTGAGAGGACATAACAGGATAGATACTGAGAAGGTATTTCCCCTTGTGGGGGAACCAGAACCTCGGGTTGAAGTGGGGGGCTGGAGAAAGTGATGATTAGAAGTAAGAAATTTACAAATAGTTGTTTGGTAGTACAGATCTTGAGTAGTATTAATAAAATACATATTTTGTCAAAGCTTTTCACCTTGCACTCATCGGGACAATTTGTAAGAATAACAATTCAAGGGCAAAGGCAATATTTATGTGTGTTGATTGGTTGGCAAGTGTACTCTGATTTGTAAAGGTATTGCTAGAGATAATGCATGATTAATGCTTATTGACAGTTAACTGCCAACCTTTGTTTAAAAGGTTGACCCTGATGGTTCAGGGCATTGCCCTAAGAAATGAATAAGGGAGTCAATGGACAGACAGAAAAATGGAGTCAAGGCTACATCAGATCAGCCATGATCTTATTGACTGGCAGAGTAGGCTCAAGGGTCCAAATGGCCTACTCTTGAGCTTATTTGTGATCTTAAGAGCAAGGCAGAGATTAGCAGGGTTGGGATCAAGTGTCTTTGCAATGAAATGTATATTAAGCTCTTGGACTTTGGGATACAGGGCTCAATTTTGAATTGACAGAGGATGCAAAACTTGGAACTGCAGCAAATAGCGAGGACAATAATAAACTAACAGACAGGTGTAACAGATGGAGAGAGATAGTAGGAACTGCAGATGCTGGAGAATCCGAGACAACAAGGTGCAGGGCTGGATGAACACAGCAGGCCAAGCAGCATCATAGGAGCAGAGAGGCTGACGTTTCGGGCCTAGACCCTTCATCAGAAAAGGGGGAGGGGAAGGGGGTTTTGAAATAAATAGGGAGAGAGTGGGAGGCGGATAGAAGAGGGATAGAGGAGAGGATAGGTGGAGAGGAAACAAACAGGTCGAAGAGGCGGGGATGGAGCCAGTAAAGGTGAGTGTAGGTAGGGAGTTAGGAAGGGGATAGGTCAGTCCAGGGAGGACGGACAGGTCAAGGGGGCGGGATGAGGTTGGTCGGTAGGAGATGGAGGTGCGGCTTGAGGTGGGAGGAGGGGATAGGTGGGAGGAAGAACAGGTTAGGGAGGCAGGGACGAGCTGGACTGGTTTTGGGATGCGGTAGGGGGAGGGGAGATTTTGAAACTTGTGAAATCCACATTGATACCATTGGGCTGCAGGGTTCCCAAGCGGAATATGAGTTGCTGTTCCTGCAACCTTCGGGTGGCATCGTTGTGGCACTGCAGGAGGCCCAGGATGGACATGTTGTCTGAGGAATGGGAGGGGGAGTTGAAATGGTTCGCGACTGGGAGGTGCAGTTGTTTGTTGCGAACCGAGCGTAGGTGTTCTGCAAAGCGGTCCCCGAGTCTCCGCTTGGTTTCCCCGATGTAGAGGAAGCCACACCGGGTACAGTGGATGCAGTATACCACATTGGCAGATGTGCAGGTGAACATCTGCTTGATGTGGAAAGTCTTCTTGGGGCCTGGGATGGGGGTGAGGGAGGAGGTATGGGGGCAGGTGTAGCACTTCCTGCGGTTGCAGGGAAAAGTGCCGGGTGTGGTGGAGCTGGTAACAGATGGACATGCGTTAGATGAAATTCATGCACAGGGGATTTGTGACACATTTTAGGAGAAAAAAATGAATAGACAATGCATGATAAATGGCACATTTTTGAAAGAACAGGCAGACGTGGCAGTGTTTTCGTACAAATCTTTGAAGCTGGTTTTATAAATGGAGACATACAGTGTAAGAGCCTAGGAGTTATATTAAACTTGTAAAACAGTAGTTTGCACCTCCCCCCCGAGGATTCCTGTGTCCAATTCTAGGTTCCACACTTGAATAAAGACATGGGAGCTTTGGAGATTTACTACAGTGGCTCTGGGAAAGAGGAATTATAGTTACGTGGATAGAGTGGAGAAGATAGGATTGTTCCTCTTAGAACAAACTCAGAGGAGATTTGATGTGTATATTTAAAAATATATTTAAAAATTATGAAAAATTTAGCTGGTGTAGATGAGAGACTATTTCCAAAGACTGAAGGATTGGAAATTCAGATTATGGATTCAAGGTGATTGGCAATAGGATCAGAAGCAATGAGAAAAGAAGTAGAATTTTGAATGCATTGCCTGACAGTGTGGAAGACATATGACAACTTTCAAATGGAAATTGAATAAACACTTGAAAGAGGAAAATACATTAGGGATAAGGGGAATGGACCGACCTGGACTGCTCAAGAGCTGAAGCAATCCCAATGACAGTGAGATAGTTTACATCTACTCAAGAGGGTTGTTGTAGTCTCAGTTCATGTTTCACCTTAAAGGCACCACTTTTAACACAATGCAATGCTACCTCCATACTACACTGTTGTGTCAACCTTGATTATGCACTCTAATCTATGGACTTATACGTGAACCCAGAACCTACTGACTCAAAGACTACCCACCGAGTCACAGCCCGAGTCATTTACCCCACTCCTGTACTTTCTGCTTACTGGCAATGGATATGGGCTGAGTGAGATGAGGAGCTGGGGACTATCAAACACTCCTGGTGTCATTTCTGATCCTGTGTTTCAAAAGACTGAAACTATTCAGCACCCTTCCATCTCCCAGTGCATCAGATATACTCATCAGGTTAAGGATTACATTTAACATTCCATCCTACCCCAAGAGGCCATTATTAATCTGTCAAAAATTCATCCTTGTTTCAGTTAGTCACAGTCAACATCAAGCCCCCATCTCCAACAGAAGAACAAATGATATTGCTCTGCCATGGAAGTGCCCATCATTTACTGATCAGTAGAATAGAGATGTCGACTAGGTTTTCTTATGAGGATCCATGAAAGGTCATCAACCTGAACATTAACTGTATTTCTCCCTCACATACTACACTGCCTGACCTGCTGAGTGTTTCTAGCATTGTCTACTGTTATTTCAGACTTTACCATTCATGGTACTTGCCTCCTATTAAAATATTTGCAGATCCCTTTAAAGAGACAGAAAAACTTACATAAGATAGTTTATACAGCATTTTTCACAATCTCAGTATATCCAAAAGGTCTTAACAGCCAATGACTAACTTGCAAGGTGTAGTTCCCAGTCTCTTCCTATCTAGAGCAGCACCAACAGCATGGATCAATACTATACACATATCAAAGCTTCAGTAGTCTCACCCTCTCATGTAGGGTGATGTGATTCAATTTAAATATGCAGGAAACTTCAGGAGCTGAGTATTTTTGTCCATCTCTTAGAATGATTCTCTCATCAAATTCCACAATATTTCAGCTAGTTCAACACTTGTAGCAATAATAGCAGTAAGTTATATTTATGTAACACCGTCAACAAAGTAAACAGGTGCCTTTAGAAAATTATTTCAAATATCAGATCAAATTGACAGGCTTGTTTCAGGAACCAGACATGGAAATCAAAGCAGAGTGTGGTAAAAGAACAGATGGGGTTAAGATAACAGGTATTCACATTTCAAATGGATAGACAGGCAAATGGAAACATTATAAGATGTCACAGTCACTCAGTTACTGGTTCCTGGCCCTTGAAGTCCAGACCCTGTCACAGACACCCAGTTCAGCTATCCAGTCCTGCCACAGATCGCAGCCATAGGCTACTGCCATTACCAAACTGGAAAAGGTGCAAAAAATGAATTCATTTGGATGATAATCCTGTCTGAAAGGTTACATAATAAAGAAAGACTGAACAGCCTGTGTTTTTTTTATATAGAAAAGAGAAACTTAAGAGTTAACCTGATAGAAGTCTTCAGGATTTTGAAAAGGTTTAATGAGGTAGATGCAGAGAAGTTGTGTCCAATTGTGGGTATGACCAGAATTAGAGGTCACAAATATACCAAAAGCAAAATACTGCAGATGCTGGACATCTGAAATAAAAACAAAAAAAAGTTCAAAATAATCTGCAGATCAAGCAACATCTGCGGAGAGAAACAGTTTCAGGTCATGATGACCCTTCATGATAAAAAGAGTCTGATGACATGAAATGTTACCTCTGTTTTTCACTCTCCACACAATTTCCAGCATTTTGTGTTTTAGGCCATAAATAATCACTAATTATTTGGGGAAATTCATAAAAAAGCTTGTTTATTCAGAGTGGTTTGAAAGTGGGACTTAGTTATAGAGTCGTACAGCACAGAAACAGACTCTTTGGTCCAATTCGTCCATGTCGACCAGATATCCTAGATAAATCTAGTGCCATTTGCCAGCATTTGGCCCATATCCCTCTCAACCCTTGCTATTCATATACCCAGCCAGATGCCTTTCAAATGTTGTAATTGTACTAGCCTCCACCACCTCTTCTGGCAGCTCATTCCCTACACACACCAAACTCTGCAAGAAAAAGTTGCCCTTTAGGTCCCATTTACATCTTTCCCTTCTCACCTTAAACCTATGCCCACCCCTGGGAAAAGACCTTGCCTATTTACCCTATCTATGCCCCTCATGATTTTATAAATCTCAATAAGGTCACCCTCAGCCTCCGACACTCCAGGGAAAATAGCCCCAGCCCAATAGCTCAAACCCTCCAACCCTGGCAACATCCTCATAAATTTTTTCTGAACCCTTTCTAGTTTCACAACATCATTCCTGTTGCAGGAAGGCCAGAATTGCACGCAAACTAGAAGTAGTTGAGGCAAATTACTTAGATGCAATCGAGGGGAACCTAGATAAACATGAGGCAGAATGGAGTTAATGGATTTACTGATAGAGTTAGATGAAGAAGACTTGTTTGAAGTGTAAAGTTCAGTATAAATCTATGGATTGAATGACCTATTTATATGCTGTACAAAGGAGACACTACCTGGCCTTAGAATTCTGACTGGAAGTGCACATAGTCACATTGAGTCAACTAGATGGAAGACTGGATTCAGAGTTTTTGTCTGCCTCTATAATTATAAACATCATCAATAAATTCCCAGAGATAGTAAGAACTGCCGATGCTGGAGTCTGAGATAACACAGCGTGGAGCTGGAGGAACACAGTAGGCCAGGCAGCATCAGAGGAGCAGGAAAGCTGACGTTTCGGGTCGCGACCTTTCTTCAGAAAGACCCTTCTTCTTCCGAAGGGTCCCGACCTGAAACATCAGCTTTCCTGTTCCTCCGATGCTGCCTGGCCTACTGTGTTCCTCCAGCTCCACGCTGTGTTATAAATAAATT